AAAGTTTTTTTTTTTGTATCGAATTTTTTTATTTAAAAAATTTAACAATTTTTTTCCCCGACTATTATTATTATTATTATTTTTTTTTTTTTTTTTCGTTCGCTGTTTTTCATTCGCTGGAGAAAAAATTTCTAGTCATTCATTCATTTTTTCTTTATTCAGACATTTTAATTTTAGTTAATTATTAACGTCTGAACCGATTAGAGTAAGAAAAGGTTTACACGGGTAAGAAAAAAGAAATAATAATAATAATGAGATTAAGAAAACCTCCCCCTTTCCTTCTCCGAAAAAAAAAAGAAAAAAATGAAAATTTATTGTAAAAACGTAACAGAAGAGAAAAAAAAAACGTGAAAGAAAAAGAAAAAAAAAAGGGAGAGAAAAACTAAGAAAAGCGGGAAGGCAAGAAGTGAGAGAGAGAGAGGGGAGATAGGGGGGTTGATAAGGGGGAATCGAAAAAAAAAGGTAAACTGGAACGGAAAAAAAAAAACCGGAAAATGAATAAGAAAGTCAAGAATGTCGTTCTTTTTTTTTTTTAACACGTCAGAAAAAATTATTCTCCAGTATGTTTGGAGAAAAAAAAATTAAAATTAAAAGTAACGGAAGGAAGGAGAAAGAGGAAGTGAGTGAGAGAGAGAGAAAGAGAGAAATGACCGAAACTGTGTAATTGAGTGAAATAAGAGAGACTGAGATAGAGAGAAGGAGAGAGGCTGGAGAAAAAAAGAGGGGAAAAACCGATGAAAATGAATAGGAGGGGAGGGTAAAGGGGGAGAGAGAAAGAGAAGGGGGGGAAGAGAAAAAAAAACTCGGGGATCTGTCAAAAAGTATTTTTTTTTTTTTAACCAAACGACTCCCCATTAAAAAAAATTTTTTTTATCTGTTTCAAATTAATGACTTACATCAAAACCTGATTGAAATATTTACTTTTTTCCCTTCCTTCGTACCTTCCCTCCCCTTTCCTCCCCCTCTTCAAATCATTTCATATTTATCCTTCCTTTACTCATTTCCAAATCCCCCCTCCCCCTTTTTTCCTGTTGAAGAAAAACAAGGCAACAGTGTATCGAATTTATATTTTTATTTTAAATCTTTTTCGAATGATTTATTCTTTTGAATGATCCATCGTGGATCCCCGCATTTTTTTTCCTTTACGAAAAAAAAAGGTGGATCCCCGCAAAATCCCTTATATACTTTTCTTTCTTTTATTTATTTCGAATCGACACAAAACAGGAACGACATTAATAATTATTTTTATTAATTTACAAAAAAAAAAAAAATACATAAATAACGTTAATCATTATTATTTAAAAACATTCATTCATTCATTCATTCATTCATTCATTCATTCATTGTAAAAATTAATAATTCACTTACATTTTTCCTTTAATTAATTAAATAAATATAATTTTTTTCAATTTTTTTTGAATATTTATAAATACGAAAAAAAAAAAAAAATTAATCCGCCATTTTGGGTAACTGATGCATTTTCTTAATTACTTTTATGGAAAACCCTTTTTTTCTCTCCCTTTTCTCCCCCCCCTCGTTTCCCCCCCTTTTTTTCGGTTATCCGATATCGGTTTTTTAAAAAAAAATATTTTTTTATTGTTGTTTCAGTAAAATGTAATGAATCAGATTTGTTATTAGAAAAAAAAAAAAAAAAAAAAACGGGCGCCATATTGTAATTAAAGTGAATGTAAAAAAAAAAAAAAATTTTTTTACGAAAGTATTAAAAAAATTAAAGAGAGAGAGAGAGAGAGTAAGTGAGAGGGAGAGATAGGGGGAAGAGATAGAGAGAGAGAGATGGATGAGTAAAAGTCTGTTGTAATTTCTTACCGTAATTTATGATCTGCAAAATCCGAATAATAATTTCATGTGTGATTTTAAGATTATAAGTCGTGAAATTAATTACGAGTGAAGCGTGAGAAATGAGATGGTGGAACCGCAACATCTTGACTAATAACACTACTACTGATACCATTTCTTACCATTTTTCCTCTTGAATATCTAAGACTAAGAGAGAGAGAGAGAGAGAGATAAAATATAAGGTATGAAAACGTGTTAAAATGAAATAGATAATATTTTAACAAAGAAATGTTTCATATATATGCATACCTTTCTTTTCCTTTTCCTTTTCCTTTTCCTTCTTCTTCTTTCTCAAAGGAAGAAAAATTTTCTTCTCTTTTTGTTTTCACAATTCTTCTTTCATTTTTTCTTCCACTTTTAAATACCCTTTCGTTCTCTTAACCGCTCCAATAACTCTTTTATTAATTTTTAATATTCCATTTTCCCGCCATTTTTCTCTTCACTTGAGATTTTCCAAGTCCAAAATCAAAATTCGAAAAATTTCATTTTTTTTTATTTTTTTAAAAAAAAAAAAATTATTAGTATCGAAATTTGTCAAGATTGATAATATTTTACCTTATCAAACTCGTAAACGATAATAATAATAATAATAATAATAATAATAATAATAATAATAATAATAATAAAATAACCATACGTATAAACGATTTTTTATTTTTTGAAAAAAAAAAGTAGCGGGGGAAAAAATAAATAAATAAATGTTTTTTTTTTCACTTTCTTCTGCCACGTCACTTTTTTTTTTTTTACACATTACATATATGTATATCAGAATCACTTTCACAGAGATAAAGAGAGAGAGAGAGAGAGAGAGACAAAAAAAAATTAATCGATAACAAAAAAAAAAAAAAACCAAATTTTTTAGCACAACCATTGAAATTTCTTTTTTTCTTTTTGTAATTATTACCCTGCATTATATTATAAGGAGATTATTATTACTATTATTATCATTATTATTATTTTATGAAAAACTGAACAAAAAAAAAAACACACATAATATATGTACACATAAATATTCTTACTATCATTATTATTATTATCGGTAATTAAACGTTCGTTCTTTAATAATTATTTTCAATTGGAAAAAAAAAAAAACAATTTTCTTACGATTTATCATTATTATTATTATTTTCGTAATAATAATAATAATAATTAGTATTGTTCGTATATATATTTATAATCATTATTATTATTATCGCGATCATTTATTAATTTAATTTTTTATTATGATAATTAGAATTTTTTAATGTCTGGGATTCGAGTTCCAAATTATTCAAACGACGTCTCACCGGAGGCATCGACAACCAAACAAGATACCGTAAACCGGAACGATTGTCGTAATAATCGCGGTCACCGTTATCCAAGGAATTTTCCGGATGTTTATAACCGTTCAGTAACCCGCGATTGAATTTTCTTCTCTTATATTTTCTCTTCCGCCGACGATATCGAACACCGTTATTTTTATTAAAATTTTCTCGTATTGCGTTATTGTAAAAATTTTTTATTTTTTTTTTAAATTTTTTAAAATGTATTTTTTCTTTTTCATCATTATCATCATCATTATTATCAGCATCAGCATCAACATCAACATCAGCATCAGCATTCTCTTCATCATCATCATTATTATCATCGTTCCCTTTAACGTTTCGAATATGATTTTTTTTTTCTAATGACGTCATAGAATTTAAAAATCCGTTAACTTTGTTTAAAGAAAAATCTGTCGATCTTTTTCTACAAAACGGTTTATTAGTATTTCGATTATTATTATTATTATTATTGTTATTATTAGTATTAGTATTAGTATTAGTATTACGATTACTATTATTATTATTATTATTATTATTATTAGTATTGCGATTATTGTTATTATTGCTATTATTATTGGTATTAACATTACGATTGTTACTATTATTATTATTATTATTATTATTATTATTATTATTATTATTACTATTCTTATTATTATTATTAATATTAATATTACGATTGTTATTATTAGCGAAGGTTGCGGTGGTACTGGTGAAGGTGGCGGCGGTAATAGGAGCAGAATTGTAAGTCTTTAAAATGCTGCAATTTCCGTTTCTGTTAGAATCTTTAGACACGTTTATATTGCTGTTTTCCCATTGGTTGTTGTTTGTTTGTTTGTGCATCACTTGTGGTATTGGCGTCGTACCACCGTTTGTTTTTTTCAAATCGTTCGATTTCAATAAATTATCATTATCATTGTTGTTATTATTATTATTAATATTATTATTATTATTGATATTATTATTATTATTGTTGTTGTTGTTGTTGAACGTATTGTTTGTTTTATTTACGTCGTAACTCGGTTTACCATATTTGTTGTCGTTGGTTGTTGTTGGTGGTAATTTTGGGTTAACGACGGTCGTACAGGGATTGGATTGCGTTGTGATTTCCATCGAATTCGTTTGTACGGTTTCCACGGCGGTTTGTTGAGTCGGTAACAAATCAATAAATTGTAATTTTCCATTGTTGTCGCCCACGGTTTCGAAACCTTTGTTGTTTGTCGAACAATTATTAGACACGTTTGTATTTTCCCAAAGTACTGGTATTGGCGTCGTCATAATCGCCGGCGACGCCGTAGTAAGTTCAACATTAGTACTCATCACGGGTTCAAATTTGATAACTTCGCTATTGAAAACTTTCATGTTATCTTCGGTGGTCGACGACATGATTATCGGGGTTGTCGTGACGTCGAAATTTTCCGAATATATTTGTTCCTTCGGGCATTCCGTCACGTACTCTAAAATTTGTTTGGAACACCCCCCCCAAAAAAAAAAAGAAGGAAAATATTAAATCGTCGCGTTTTCCGTTTGTTTGTTATTGAAATTACAAAAAATTATTAATTACCGTAAGGAATTGGCGTTTCGCTGTCCTCGCATTGAGCATTATAAGGAGTCGTATGTTCTTGTTGTTCTTGTTGTTGTTGTTGTGTTTGTTGTTCAGGAGCACAACATCCGCTTTCACTCAACGTCTCTAATAAATATCTTGTGTAATCCAATTCTCTTTGAAGATATTGAAAATTCACGTTAATCGCTTGCTAAAAATCAATTTAAAAAAAAAAAACAATCACAATCACAATGGAATCAAAACCGGAAATGAGAATTTTCGTCATTATTATTATTATTTCATATTTTTACTTTTTCAACTTCCGATAATTTTTGATAATCGTCGATCAATTTTAATAGCATCCCTTGTTTCATTTTAAGTGTTTCGCATAATTTTTTATCGTAGGGGGGTGGATTTTTATTTTGAGGAAATTTTTCCGTGTTCGATTCGACTTTTTCATCGTCGCAGCATCTTTCCTCATCAGATTTATCTTTCGTCGCCGAATTCCATATTTTATCAAAATTATCGTCGTAATTCCGTTCCTTTTCGCATCTATCCGTTTTTACGTCGAGCAAAGAATGAAGAAAATTTTTCGATTGTTTATCTATTTTGTTACACATTCTTTTTTTCACATGTTCTTCTGCAATTTTTTCCAGGTCGTACTGACGAAAGGGGAAAAATTTTACATTATTCGAAAACAGAAAAATAATAATAATAATAATAAATATTTATCAGAATCGTTGGATTTGTATTATGCTCTGTACAAAAAACGACAATTGTGCCAATCGTTTTTTTTTTTTTTTTTTAACTTACCTTTATTATTATCATTATTATTTTCTTACGCGTATACTTTATTTATAGTTATAGTTTATAGTTATTTTTATTTAAAAAAAAAAAAAAAGAATAAATAAGACTAACCATAATGTTTTGGAAAATGGATTGCACTTTCTCAGGATAATTTTCACGTTTTAAATCTCTTTTATTATCAGTTTGTATATTATTATCAAAACGCATGGGGAGTTTTCCCAAAAGACCAGGTCCGATAAAGGATTTAAATTTAGAATCTCTATTGACACGTTTTATTATTGAATCAACTATTTGACGTCCCATGTTTGTACTCGTGTATTCGTCAATAGCCGTTTTATCTCCAATTATCTGCGAAGGGTTTTTCACATTTTTTGTCACACAATCGACCACATGGTTCTCACTGGTAATGTGAAGGAAAAAAATTTTTTTTTTTTTTTTTTTCAATTCTTCCGCGGTCAACTTACGTTGGCATCACTGGACGATGGAAATATTGTTTTCCTTTTGAATCTTCCTTTCTGTGAGTACCTTTGACCGTATCGTAAACTCGGATGTGAATCTTCTTTCGTTGCTGGATCATTTCAACACAAACCGCGTTTTATTTTGAAAAACAAAAACATGATAAAAAAAAAAAAATAATTATTTTTTGTTTATGATTCGATCGATCGATAACATCGTTCGATTAATCGATCCATCGAAATCATTTACTACTTACGACAGTTGTGATTCGTTTTTTTTATATTTTTTGAATCGTTTAATGTATCATTTTTGTGAAAATTCGTCAATTCTTCTCCCTTCGTTTTTTCTTTTGTTGTCGTCGTCGTCGTGTTTCTTTTCGTTGATGACGTTGTCGTTGATGACGTCGTATTTGGTGACGTCGTATTTAGTGATATCGTCTTTGGTGACACCGTCGTTGATGACGTCGTGTTATCGACACCGTCGGCTCTTTTTCTACGATTTTTAATTAACGATGATATTTTTCCGTCGTCGAAATTTGTCGCCGTCGCCACCGCCGCATCATCGTTCGGACATCTTTTCTTTTTCGTCAAAACGAGAAAAACTTTTAAATCATCGTTCGACGTTGGAATGTTTGACGTTTTATATTTTCCGATGCTTGCGACGGCGTTCGAATGATCGTTCGCACCGGGATTTTTCACTTCCTGTTCGTTCAATTCAACTTTCCAGGGTCCCTCGGATTTATCATTCGTAGCCGGAAAATTCTCATTTGAAAATTCGTCCCTTTTCGCATAACCCAAATATTTATCGTGTAATTTATTATCAAATTTTTTATCGATCGAATAAATGGGTTCGAATCCGACCGTTTTCCCATCGACCGTTTCCGTTTTTTTAACGTCTTTTTCCTTACCAAATTTTTTAAACAAGTTTAAAGATCTTTTATTCTCACGATAATTCGTCCAAGTGGATCCTTTTAATTTTTCCAAACTTCTTTTTTTATATTTAATTGAATTCGAACGAGATAAATTTTGAAATTTTATTTTTTTCTCTTGTTTTTTAACGTTTCTCTTTTGCGTGAGATTTTTCTTATGATATTTTCGGTAATTCGATTCCGTCAAATGACCCGTCGTCAATCTTTTACATTCTTTTTTTTCATCATAAGAATTTTCAATCGATCTTTTGACTTTTTTTCCCGACGACGACGATGACGTCATTTGTAAATTTTCATTAGGATTTTTTTGTTGTTCGTACGACGACGTGTGAGGATTATCGTTAACGCTTTTTTTCATTATGTATTTTCCAATTACGTTTTCCATGACGTCATAATCATCATCGTCTTCGCCTAGTGTGGCGTCGTCGCCGACGACGTTTTTACCGTCGGCCATATTGTTTTTTTCAACGTTTTCCGATTCCGGATTTAATATATTTCTTTTACGTACGGGAAAATTAATAATTTTAACGTTTTTTTTATTCGGAGTTTCGTGGGGAGTTAATAAAGAATTCGATTGCCCCCGATTAATTTTGAACGAATCGAAAGACGATTTCTCATCGTTCGATGATGATGATGATTTGAAATTTTCGTTAAAACGTTTTAAATTATAATTCATATCTTCCGGATTTACGTAATCGTATTCCCGCATTTCCGGTATCTTATTTCCGTTTATTTTAATCTTTTTACCATCGGGTTTAAATTCGGTTCTTTCGCCATTATACCTGTTGTTTAAATTGTACAATATATTTTTATTTATAACTCCTGAATTTTCGTTAAATTTTTTAAATAAATCCATTGAATTTTTAACCGGATATTCGAAATATTCTTGACGTCCGGTTTCTTTTAATTTTAACGGATTTTTAAATTTTTTCACATCGTTATCGGGTTCGTGTTGTTTATATTCGATCGGTCCGATTTCGTCGTAGTCGTATAAAAAATTCATCAAATTGTTATTTTCATCGGATTTTTTAACCAATTGCGGTCTGTGAGGTTGTTGGGGTTGTTGCGATTGTTCTTTTTGCATCAAACCGGGTACCGAATACGACGAATACTCGTTCATATTTTCATCACCGGTTTCGTTGTAATCTTCATCTCCGATATCTTCCTCGTTATTGCTCTCGTTGTTGTTAACATTATTATTATTATTACTACCGTCCGTGTTAATGTTATCGCGTAAATTTTGATTTTTATAATAATTTTGATAATTATTATTATTATTATTGGTATTTCCGTAAGTTTTACCGGAAATTCGATTCATTGATTGTTTATTGAGCATTGTTTCGTATGACGGATCCTGTTTGAATTCTACTCCGCTGTCGGCATAATCGTCATCGAAACCATCGGAATAATCTAAATATTTATTGTCGTTGTTGTTGTTGTACATTTTATTATTATTATTATTATTATTAATATCGTTTTGATAGTTTATCGGTGATTCGTAGGGATTTGATTTGTCGTAATCGTAAGATTTAATAAATTTTTCATTTTCCGGTGAGATTTTCATTTTAACATTGTCGACGGAACTTTCTTTTAACTTAACATTAGCGACTTTTTGCATTTTCGTTAATTTTCTATTGACCAAGTTTTGATTGTTACCATTGTTGTTGTTATTGTTGTTATTGTTGTTGTTGTTGATGCTGTTGACTTTTTTAATACCGTTGCTATTGCTGTTTGCGTTTATGAAAAATGTATTTTCGACGTCTTCCGAGGACGGAGATGAGTTTTTATTTTCATCGTAGTCTTTGGTAGAACTTTTTCTGTTTTTAAGTGAATTCGTATCGGATTTAGCGTTGACTTTTTTTTGCGACAGCGTATAGTAATTGAAAAAAGTTCTGCTGGGCATCGAACCGCAATTTATGTACGTCGGAACGGGAAGTTTATTGTGCTTACTAAAAACGGATTTATCGGCATCGTCGGAAAGTGTATTTTCATTAACGGAAGTCAATTCGGGTTTAAGAAATTTATAATTTTCTAATCCTGAAGGATTAGAGGATTGAGATAAGTCTTGGGACACGATCGGTGATCCCGTTATTCGTTTCCATTCGTTATCATCGAAATTTTTTTTCACATTTTTATCATTGTTTATTTGAATGGATTTTTCTTTCAGGTAAGATTTGATGTCGTTATCGTTACAATTGGACGAATCCGAATTTAAATGATAATTATTTTTAATTACGGGATTTTTAAAATTTTTAACGTTGTTTTTAATTTTTTGATTGAATCCCCGGATTTCGGCTTTGTTTGAATTTTGAGTCGGATTGTAAACCGTTTCAACTTGAGGCAAATGATTTCCACTCGTGGGTATTTTTTGATCGGATTGAAAATTTTGTTCGAAATAATTTTTACGCATTAAATTATTATCCGTGGATTTTTTATTGTCGTACGGTAAAAAATTTTTATTCGGATTTGTAATTAAATTATTGTGGATCCCGTAATTTTTTTTTTTCCTTATCATTTTATAATAAGGAGGAGTCAGTAAGCGATAATCGGAGGGATTACTCGAAACGGAAGAATCATCTCCTTCCGGTGTTTTATAATCAATGACTTGATTTTGATTTTGTACGTTTAATCTCGAATTGGACGTGGATTTATCCGACGAATATTTATTTTTGTCATAATTTTCTTTTTCGATAATCGACATATCGATATCGTTTGAATCCGGTGAATCGGTATCGATTGACGGATCCGATGATTTTTTCTCTTTCGAACTCGCTTTCGATATTTGTATTCTTATTTGAGTAGGAGTTTTAGAATCTTTGTATTCGGATTTTTCCTTTTTCGTATTGAATTCCGTTTCCGGTTTTGAACTAATTTCGTTTTTTTCTAATCTACCGCCGCTCAATGAATTCGATGAAGATTTTTTATTTCCGTATTCGGATTTTTTTTTTTTATTTTCTCTTTTTTTAAATTCACGCGAAGATGACGAAGACGATGACGGGGACGACGACGACGACGACGACGAGGAGGAAGAAGAAGAAGAAGAAGAAGATATTTCGCGTTTTTCTAAATTGCCATCTTCTTTCGTATTTACCGAATTGTAAACGACTTGATTCGGATTATCTTTTCCTTCCCACAGGGGTTCATCTTTTTTAACAATTTCCCTTTTTAAACTTCCAAAATCCGTTAATTGGGAATCCAAACCGAGAGAAGTGACGAGAAAATTTTGAAAATCGTTGGGCATGCTTTCGTCTAAATCGATTTCTCTTTTGAAATTCGAATGAGTCGGAGTGAACAAACTTCTTTTCCTTCTCCCATCTTCTAAGTCTTTATCATCCGACATGCCGCGAAACAATTTCAATATGTACGGATCGACGTCGAGTTTTTTTTTTAAATCATTAAAATGGTTTTGATTTGAATACCATGATTTATAATCTTCCATATAGTCATCAACGGCTTCTTCTTCCTCGACATAGTCATCGTCAAAACGTTTCTCTTTTATCGATAGTAATTTTCTTTTATTCGCTCCTGAAGAATAAACACTTTTATAAATATCTTCTTCATCCGTATTTATAACATTTGATTTTTTTACTTCAGTTTTACTCACTTTTGACTTATTGTTGTTGTTGCCTTTTGATGTGGAAGAAATTTTACCTAAAATTTCTTTATCTATTTTTATTTTTTCTTCTTTTTCCAAATAATTTACTGACCCTCCTTTTTTTTCCCCTTTTTTATCAACGTTTCCGTTCATCGTTGTATCCCTTTTGCCAATATCATCATTATGTAATGAAAAGGCACTTCTTTTTTGAATTTTTTTTAACGGACACTTGTTTTTTTGTTCGTTTCGCGTGGCGGAAGAATCCAATGAGGATTCACCATCGATTTGCGATAAATCATATTCGTCGTTGTTGGATTGTCTTTTTCCACGGAATAACATGGAATCTTCAATGGCTTCACGTAATTTTCTTTCATCGGCACCTGCTCTTTTTAATTTTTGCACTTTATCAGATGCTAAAGAAAGAGTTTTCCATAATTCATCTTGATAGTTTTTATCATTTAATGGTTTTTTCATTCCTTCGCTATTCATGAAATTATCAACGTCATCGTTATCAAATCCCTTAAGTAAATTTTCATTATTTAATTTTATAAAAGATGGTGTATCCCTAACAGATTTCTCATCTGAAATCCAATGAGGTTGAGACGATTCTAAAGAATCAAAACCTCCGCCACCATCGACGCCATCATCGTTTTTGTTGTTATTGTTGTTGTTGCTGTTGATGATGTCGTTCGATCCCTCGTAATTAATATTGTCGTTGGGAATGTTTGAAAAATCTAATTTATTCGAATTATCCAAATCGGATTTTGACGGATTATAAATCATGTTTTGTAAAATGTCAACCATGTTTTTTATGTTTGAATTTTGAAAATTTTTAATTTCCGGAGCGTTCGGTTTTTCCAATTTCATAGAATAATCGTAAGAATTTCGTTTTTTGTTCGATTTTAAATTGTTTGCGTTCGGGGGAGATTCGACATCGTCGTTGTTGTTGTTGTTGCTGCTGCTGCTGCTGCTGCTACCGTAGTCGTCGTTATTATTATTGTTATTATTGTCGATTTGCGAATATTCGTTAAAATCTTTTAAAAACTGTTCGATGTTATTCGTATGTTTTATCGGTATCCAATCGGTTGTTTGTATACTTTTTTTAGCGTTTATTTTCTTATTTAAATATTCTTCGTAGGGATATTCCGGGGATTCCGAAGAATCAAATAAATTTTGATTTTTCGAACCGTGACTACTTTCATGCGATGACATGGCGTCATCTGAATATTTATTTTCTTTTGAGTTTTTCTTGTCGTTTGAATCTCCGAGGATTTGTGGTAAAAAATCCGGAACTGAATTTTTATTTAATACCATTTCGATTTGTCTCGCACCGGGCACGTTCAAAGAATTTAAATTTTTTTGCGGCATTCTAAACGGCATGCCAGATGGCGAATCGTCGTCCGTTTGTGGCAACCCCATTTTAGGCATTTTATTTCCTTGATTCGTTTTTAATTTGTTTCTTTCAAAATCTAAAACTATGATGTCATTTCCGTTTTTTTGAATCGTTTTTATTGATTTAGCTTCCGGGAATGCTTTTTTAAGAGCCGCTTCCCACGAATCCGAGGAATCGTTGTTATTATTATTGTTATTATTATTATTATTATTATTATTTTCTTTTGCGCAACATGAGAATTTGAAGTTGTTGTTGTTATTGTTGTTGTTGTTGTTGTTGATGTTATTGTTATTGTTATCGTTGTCGTTTTTTTGATCGATTGTTTTAAAATTTGTCGTCAATAGTGGCATCGTGTTCGACGACGAAGGGGTTTTAAAACTTCCCCCTTCTTTTTCTTCAGGTAATTTACTTATAACGATCGGATCTGGTAATTTGTCATCGCAAAAAACTTCGTTACGATTTTTAGAATCCGAATTTGACGCTTGATTAACATTTTCCGATTCTTGATCGCCATCTTTGAAAAAATCAGCGAGTCCTTTGAGTTTATTAAATGGTTTTTTTAAATTCGATGATTTCGGGGATCCGTTTCCGTGATATTTTGTTATATCATCGCTCGAACGATAGGTTCGTATGATTGAACCGCGATTACGATTTTTAGGTTCTCTCAAAGTGTTAGGTTTGTTCAAACGGAAAATATCGTATTTTTTATTTGTTTGATCGTCGAAAGAGGACGACGCACGGTCGTCAATGAAATCTCTATCGTTTAATTTTTGAAATTTTTTTTTATTAGTTTTTTTCCATATAACGTAATCGTTGTCTTTCGTTAACATTTTAGCCAACCTATCGCGGTAAACATCGTTTTGAACGTCTTTTGTACCGTCTGCGAACGCTTTGGCAAACTTGTTACCATTTTTGTCTTTTTTGACCAAGAACAAAGAATTGTCGTGAGGTTTTAAAAATATATTTTCGTCGTATCTTTTTATTGGATCGTGTTTAACGTTTTGATATTTCGACGATTCTCTCCAAGATCTTTGAAAATAATTATTATTATCAAAATCCGTTGATAATTTCTTATCGGAAAATGATGATTGAGATCGAATGTTGAAATCTTTATTCAAATTACTCTGTTGTTTTTCATCCGAAATAAAATGTTTTTGTCCGAATTTAACTCTGTTTCCGTAATAACCGGAAGGAGCTCCTTTATTTTTCAAACTGCTACCACTTTCCAAAGGTTTCATATCGAATTTATTATTATTATTATTAATATTGTCGTTATTGTTATTATTATTATTATCATCAATTAAAGACGGTGCTTTTCTTTTAAATTTTTTATCGTTGTATTCGATATTATACGTCATCATTTTATCGAAATCTTCACGGGGATTTATTTTGTCGTCATCATCGTCGCCATCGCCGTCGTCGTCTTCGTTTTTATATTCTCCAAAAAATTTGTCGCCATAATTTTGACGTTTTCTCTTATTCGTAAACTTTGTCAAAGGAGTATTTTTCGAATCCGGATTATTTTGATTGTATATTTTTATTTGGTATTCATATTTTGGAAAAGATTTACGTTTATTCCGAAACGGATTATCGTAATATTTTGATAAACTTTCGGATTTATCATAACACGGGTAAAATGATTTTATTTCATTTTGTGCAGCAGATTCCGGGGATTCGATTTGATACGTCAGAGAGGATTTATCCATAAATTTATTTTTTTCATTTAATGGAAAATCAACCGGACTTGAATTTTTTTTCTTTCTTCTTTTCGATAATTTACAATTCGTTATAAAATTTTTCGAATTTTCCCTTTTCTCCGGTGCATTGTTGAATGAATTTAATATGTCACTATCACTCGATTTGAATCTCTTTAGGGATTTAACGAAATTTTTATGATAATCGGTGTTGACAAATTCGTGTGGTGGTAAATTCATTTCGTACAATAGTTTTCCATTGTATGATAATTCTTGGTTTCCCTTACCAATAAATGATTCTTCTTCGTCGCCTGATAAATCGTTATTATATTTTACGGATTGAGAAAGTGATGGCGAGCAATCCACGTCATTTTTTTTATCACCATCATCACCACCACCACCGTCGTTTGATTTAATTAATTTTTGATTTTTAATTAACGATCCATCTTTGTACGATGAATTTAAATCGTCGTTAAAACCGGTGCCATCATTCGATATTTCCGATTCTTTTCCTTCGTCCGAATCGTGTTCGTTAAATGAATATTCGCTACCTTTGAAATTGCTACTCATTAAATTTCCTCCCCCATTAAAATGCGATACCACTTCGTCATTATTATTATTATCATTATCATTTGCAGATTCACTATTTTCTACTACGTTAGAATTTTTAGTTTTTTCTTGACACGACGAATCATCCGGTGAAAATCCTTCTTTAGTTTTACCATCATCAATTTTATCACCGTTATTATTATTATTATTATTATTATTTTCGTTGACTTTAACATTTTCCGTTAATTTATTAGAATTTTTGATTTCCGATTTGTCTTTCGTATTTTTTTCAACGACCGCTTTTAAATTATCTTTATTCGATCCACCATCTTTATTTTCTTTAATGTTAACTTCCTTATCTTTTTTACCGGGTTCATCTTTGTATTTGTTTTCTTTTCCTTTTAAACTTTCCGCGTCTTCTTGAGTTTTCTCGTTTTTTTTCGATTCTGTTATTTTCGAGTCCGTGACTTTGTCGTTGTTACACGAAGCAGAAGATTCTTCTTTAACGGCTTTAACATTTTCATCAATGGCTGAATTTTCTTTCACGTCGTTCACGTTCAATGACGTTTCACTATTTTTTAATGATACTTTGGACGATTCGGATTTTCCATCGGTTTCCTTAGCAAGATCAGAACCGTCCGAATGATATTCCTTCTTATCACTTGTTTGGAGAGATTCTTTTTCCTTGTTATCGGTCAATGAATTTTTATTAGTTTCTTTTTCGTTTAATTTTCCCTTATCACTTTTTCCATTTTCATCGTTGTTTCTTTTTATATCGAAATGATAATATTCATCATCGTCGTAACCGTACCCGTCTTTTTCTTGATCATCGTCAATTTCGTGTGATTTATCATTTAAATTATCCGATTCTCTTTTTATAAAATTTTTATCATCGACGTTTAAATTTAAATCATTATTATAAACATCCGCGAAATTTTTTATGGGAAATAATTCGTTGTTTCCTTTAGATTTATATGTATTTTTCGAATTAAAAGGATTATTTGTATCGAACGAAAACCGATCCAATTTAAAATTTTTTAATTCTTCATCTTCTTCTGCATTACTATTTCCTTTTAAAAAATCGCTTTTTGATTTTTTCTAAAAATTAAAATAAAACAAGGAAAATTTTAAATAAATAAATAATTATTTTATTTATTCTCCGCTTATTAAATCATATTATTAATTACACTTAATTTTAATTACACCTATAAAATATAAAATAGTTTAAACGTTAACAAAAAAAAGAAAAGAGTTAAGTAAACTACAATATTATTATTATTATTATTATTATTATTATTATTATTATTATTATTATTATTATTATTATTATTAAAAAAAATAATGTGTGAGTGAGTAAATAATGAGAAATCGGGGATGAGCTTTAATGGAGGTTAGATTACGTTATAACACCTGAGTCCGTTAATGTTCTTTTATACAACAACCTAAACATTCTCCTTTTTTTTTAACTAAAACCAAACAGGCGACAGATTTTCCGGAATAAAAAATAATAATAATAATAATAAAAATGTATAAAACGAATAAACGAGGGGGGGGGAAAGGGAAGGGGGTAAAGTACTTTTTTTTTTTTTTAATTATTATAATCCTTTTTTTTTTTTAAAAAATGCGACATAATGATGTATAAATACTTTCTAACGTCTAATTTTCTTTTTTCTTTCCTTTTAAAAATATTATTATTATTATTACTATTATCATCATCATCGATATTAATTAAAATAATGTTAATGTAAAAAAAAAAAAAAAAACCGTTTACGTTTTTTTTTTTTTTTTAAAAGAATACAAAAAATAAAATTTTATGTGAGAAAACAAAAAAAAAAAAAAAAAAAAAAAAATTTATTACGTTTTTAATTATTATTATTATTAACTCTATATAATTTTTAATTTACATAGATTTCTGATCTAAATTTCTCTCTCTTTTTTTTTTTTAAATAATAATAATAATTCCAACATTAATTTACCTGAATTTAAAAAAAAAAAAAAAAAAAAACAAAACAAAAATGGAAAAACTGGAAGGGGGAAAAAAATTTTTTTTTTTTTTTTATTAAAATGTAAAAAAGTTTTTTTTTCTATTAATAAAAACTCATTATAACATATTAAAATAATTTTTTCATAAAATTTTATGAAATGAAAATGAAAAAAAAATTTCATTCCATTTTACTTTACTTAACAAAAAAAAAGAAAAGGCTAAGATATAAAATTCTCATCGGGTGGTGGCCATTTTATAAAAAAATAAACAATTTTTAAAATCAAATATTTTAAATAAAAAGAAAAAAAAAAGGAAGAAACGATATTAAAACTTTAAATTTACTAAAAACAACAACAACAAAAGTCTAAGATGTTGTTGTTGTTGTTGTTGTTATTACGTCACTGACAGATGGATTTCGGAAATTAAAATACATTTGTCAGGATCGTGAGAGACAAGAATTTCAATATGTTCACCCTTTTTTTTTTTTTTTTTTTTTTTTTTATCGATAAAACAATGAGTTTTTTTTTTTCTTTTTCTAAATCAATAGAAAACTTTAATAAATTTAAAATTATACAGTATTAAATACAACAGGAAAACGACTTTTAAAAGAGATAAAGAGAGAGAGGGGGGGGGAGAGGGAAAAATAAAAAAAAGAAAATAAGAAAGAGAGAGAGAAAAGAAAAAAAAATGAGAAAAATTTCATATTCCTTTACGTTTTTTTATTTGTTTCGTTTTGTACAAACACGTTTGAGAATTTTTTTTTTTTTCCAAAAATACACACAAACAAACAAACAAACGAAAAAGGAAAAACAATACAAACGTTTAAAAAAAATAAAAATGCAAACGAACGAACGAATGAAATTACATGAATAACAAAAAAAAAAAAAAAAAAAAAACAAAATATGTATATATATTCAACAGTCACAGGGGGTTTATTATTATTATTATTATTATTATTTTCCCTATAAAAAATTTTCAATAAAAAAAAAACGAACGGGAAAGATTTGTTCATTTACATCAAATTTTTTTTTAAAAAGTTTGATTCGTTTGTAGCAAAAAAAAGGAAAAAAAAAGAAAAGGAAAGAAAAGGAAAGAGAAAAGGAAAGAAAAAAGGCTTTCAACCCTAATTTATTAATTTACTCAAATAATTTATAGTTAATTGGGTAGGAGAAAAAAAATTATTATTATTATTATTATTATTATTATTATTATTATTATTTTTTTTTTTTTTTTTCGCGATCGTTAATTCTGAGGTCGTTTGTTCGTTTGTACGTTTCTCTTTTTTTTAGAAGGGTTGTTATCGCACCTGGGTATAATATTACAACCGGAAAACACTAAATACTATTCCTCCCCCTTCAACCCTTTTTGGCAATTTGAAATATTAAAAACACTCACTCCGTCTACAAACTAATTGATACGGTAAATCAAAAAACTCTTTAATAAAAATGGCCGACTTAGTTTACATTTTTCCCGCCTTTTTCCCTTCTTTTCCCCCTCCCCCAAAAAAAAATTACTTAATAATAATAATAATTATAATTAATGAAGGAAAAAAAAAAAAAAACGTAAAAGTCGCCGTCGTCGTCAAAGGAATAAAAAAAAAAAAAAAATGAGATTAGGTTAACCGAAAAGAAATTTATACGTTTAAAAAAAACAGGGGGTGGGGGTGGAGATGGGGGGATTCCCCTAAAAAATTTTATATGTATATTAAAAAAATAACGGACTAACCTCAGCTCCGGTAAAATCAACCGAAAAAACCGCAAGCGTCATCAAAATTGTGAACGCCGCGGAAATATAAAAAGGATATATTCCAAAAAGGTTCTTCATAACGTATTATCTGGAAAAAAAAGAAAATAATAATAATAATGATAATGATAAAAACGATGATGATGATGATGATGATGTTAATGAGAAAAATTTAATTAGTATTATAAATAAATTATTATCTAATAAAAATTTCTTAATAAATATTCGCGGTGGTAGAAGAACTAAAAAAATCGATTGCTGTTTGTTGTTTGTTTGTTTAAATGGATTTATTATTTAAAAAAAAAAAAAAAAAAAACAGACAACCGCAACAATAATCCTCTTTCTTTTGTTTATGCGGTTTTTTATTTTTATTCATCGTGAATGAACAGACAATTAAAATTAAAACGTATATAAATAAAATTGTTTATAACAATAAACATAAACATTAAATTAATTAAAAATATTAAAAAAAAAATGGCGGAGGGAAGGAAATGGAAAAAAAAAATTACGTGAAATACTCACGTCAACCCCTAACATTAAAAATAATTTTTTTTAATAATATTCCACCCTTTAATGATAACCTTATCAGGGATGCAGTTCATGAAAAGAAAATATTTACATTTTTTTTTTTCGGGAGAAAAAAAAAGTTTATTTATTTATTTATTTAAATGTCAGCCATTTTTTTTAATATTATTAAAAAAGGTTTAAAGAAAAAACTTTTCTATTTGTGTTTGTCACGTTATTGTTTGTGTTTGTATGTGTGTATGGAAGACATCCCTATCGCTACCCTTAACACAAAAAATTCATTTTATATATACATATAAGGTTGTTTAAAAAAAAAAAAAAAAACAATTTAAGGTATATTGTTATTAAAATCTAACAACGAATTTTCATTCAATAAATTTTAAAAGGTAACAAAAAAAAGGAACGTACTTATTGGTAAAAGGAAAAAAAAAGGAAAAAACTTTTTTTTTTACTCGTTCGAGCACGTTTTACCAAAATGAAAATAAAAAAAAAAAAAAAATTTTCTACCCTTTTTTCGTGTTGTTGCAACCTTTTTTCTCGTCAAATAATTTAACCCCTCGTTTCTCTCTCTCTCTCTCTCTCTCTCTTTCTCTCTCTCTCTCTCTCTCTCTCTCTCTCTCTCTCTCTCTCTCACTTAAAAAGTTACCATTTTAATACTTTTTTTTTGTTTTTACTTCATTGAATATATTTTTTTTTTTTTTTTGAGGGAAAAAAAGTTTAGAATAAGTTTTGTTCCTACCCCGCACATTTATGCACGCAAACATATCCGCCATTTTTTTTGTTTTTTGTTCATCATTTTTGGGGATTTTTTTCCTTTTTTTTAACCGAGTGACAAACAAAAAAAAAAATTGACTTTCGTTATTTTTTTTTACGAGTTTTCTACATTCGTTCGTTCGTTCGTTTTCGATGTTGTTAAATCCAAATGAAAATAGAACAAAAAAAAAAAAAAAAAATATTAAGAAAAATAAAAAAGGAAAAAAATGGAAAGTTGAAGAACTATTAGAAAAAAAAAAAAAAAATAAGGGAAGAAGGGTAAAAAGGCTCACGTTGGATTACGAATATCAGATTTATTGAAAAGCAAATCCATGGATTCGGTTTTCTATTAAAGGCGAAAAATGAAAAAAAAAAAAAAAAGGTTTTTACCCTTTTCACATACTGTGTGAAAATAACATTTCATAACAAAAACTATTTTGGTAACGCAATGATAAACATAAAAATAACAACCGACAACTGGATAAAAAAATTTTTGTTTGTTTGTTTGTTTGTTTGTTTTAAAAATAATTTGAAAATTTAACGAAATACGTAGAGAAACAAAAAGAAAAGGTGACCGAAAATGTTTTCCTCAACTGTTTTATGGCATTTAAAAACAATAAATCAATTTTAAAATCTGATATTACACTGAGAGTGGGGGTGAGGAGAAGGAACAATTTTTGATGGCACATTTTCCCACTTTTTCGGTAAAAAAAAACTTCCAGAGCAATAAATTAAAATAAAATCGATTCGCGATAAATTCAACTTATTGTTAATTATAATAAAATATTAAAATTTTTTAATGTTTTTTTTTTTTTCTACGGAAAGGGAAGGGGGGCAGAAATGTTTTTAAAAATGTACGAAAAGAAAATGATAATAATAATAATAATAAGAAAATTACCATCACGTTGTGTAAATAATAATAATAATAAATTGTTGTTATTGTTGTTTTAAATTATAATTTAAAAATTTGTTTTTTTTGTTTTTTTTTTTTGTTATTACGTTGCTTATCTACCTGGAAGCAAAAAAACAAAAAAAAATGCCAACTTTTAATTTAAATTACGCCATTTTAATTTTTAATTAAAAAAAAAAAAAAAACAAAAAAAAATTCTCCAAGTTTACATTTAAAAAAAAAATTCTTATTTTTCAAGTCAAAAAAAAAAAAAAAACCAAATACACTTTTTTTCCTCCCAAATTTCCCCTCTCTCTTTCTTTCCCCTTCCCCTCTCCCATTCTCTTTTCACTTCCTCTCTCACTAACTTTTTTCCTTCATTGTTTTTTTTTTTTTACTTCCCTTTCCGGTTTTTTTTTTTTTTACATTTTCCACAATTTTAATTTTTTTTCATTTCAACTTCACAATTTATAAAATTTTTATTGTTATTTATTTATTTACTCTCTCATTATTATTATTATTACTGATCAAAACATAAAAAAAAAAAAACATTTCG